CTTTCTGTTTCTCCCAAATCCATAACCTTGTGCTCACCAAAGAAAAGCCAAGATCCTCCAGAGCTCTCCCAGCTGTGTGGGACCCAGATGTTCTGCAGATCCCACAGAAATCAGCAGAGCACGTGGGACTTGACAGAACAGAGCCGATCCAACCAAAAAAAACAAAACTGAAAAGGGACAAAAACGTGCACAGTGTCTGGGGGATGGGAAGCAAAGGGTTTATCCAGATAGGGATTTTTTATTATCTGTGTTTTCAGGCCAGAACAGTCCAGCAGGGACATGGGGACAGGTTATCACACAAAATAATAATAATAATAATAATAATAATAATAATAATAATAATAATAATAATAATAATAATAATAATAATAATAATAATAATAATAATAAAATTATTATTATCATTAATATTATTGCTATTATTTTTGTTGTAGTAGTAGTTGTTGTTGTTGTTGGAACCCTAGAAATTGAGAATTTTAGGCTTTCTGTGCTGACAAGCACTAACCCCCACAAAAACTCTGCTTTTGACCTAAAGCCGTGAAAAAAGCTTCCAAAATTGAAAAATCAAACTAAAATCACAAGTGTGCAATTTAAATGAAAGTGTGTAATATCATGTCATAAAAAAATTAGAATGCAAAGTTTTAAAATATAAAAATATATAAAAAGCAAGATAAAAGTTTTAAAACAAGAGTTTCATCTTTCTTCTTCACCTTCTTCTTCATAAGTCTAAATAATCTTGTTTAATTAAGTTAAAAAATCCACAACACAAGACACAAGTAATTAATTGCTAAGTTAAAAATAAAAATAATTTAAAGGTCCGTTCTTACTAAAACATTAACTCCTTAAAAAGGTTTGTAAAAAAAAGTCTCAATTTTTAACTTGATAACTTTAAATACTGTAAAACTCACAAACTGTAAAACACAATAATTGTTGCTGTTGTTGTTGTTATTATTATTATTATTCTCTAAAAATGCATTTCTTTTCCATTTTCCGTCTCCTCCACTAGAGCTGGAATTTTTCTGTGGAGCAGACACAAATCACTGGCTGTGGCAAGAGTTCCCAATTTTAATACTTATTTCCACTTTTTTTTGTGTGTGCAGTGATAGATGAGATGCCCCATTCCTGAAGTTTTAGGAATATTCTTTTACAAAGTGGTTCTGCACCAGAGCAATGTCATATTTTACAAATGTCAAAATCTAGAAATGGGAGATAAAAAAGCAGATTTTTCCATCAGAGAAAACAAAGGCATGAGAGGTGAAGCTGTGGGGGAAAAAAATTCGTGGTGATCTTTTTTTCTCCCTCCACTGAGCAACCACAGGATTCTGTGACTGTTTTCTGTCAAAAGAGATTAAAGATGGATTGGAAAGCAAAGATGAATTTCAGAGTTGCTCCTCTAGGGATGGACAATCCTGGCTTCCATAAACTAAACCATAATTTCATAGAAATGCTCAGAGAATCCTCCTTGGCAGTGGTGCAAAGGGAGTGAACAAATGCACAAATTCTTTATCCAAAATATCAAGACTCTTTTTCTTTACCATGGCACTTGTTCTGTTTATGAGAGTATGAAAATACAGATCTGTGAAATAGAAAAAAGCTGATTTATTCTTGCCTTAAAGTCAAACTGTATGGCAGGATGTGCTAATTAAAGAAAAGGGATTAATGGAGAGGAGACACTTTGTAGAAATGATGCTCTGGGAAAGAAATCCAACTCCTCTGTGTCCACACTGCCATGGATTTTGTGTGCTCTTATTCCCAGGTCACTGTGTTTCAGCTCTGGGAGGGTGTTTGGACAAATCTGAATGAAGCCACTTAATTTCTGCCTCATTTATAGCTTTTACTGAATCTACTGAGCTCCATCTGTTCTGTAAGCTGAGCAGGAAATTGGGAAATAATGATTAAAATGGAAATAATTGTTAGAACAGAAAAACCTCGATGAGTCTGATAAGGGAAACATGGATTTGGGTAAAAAATAAATAGGGGTGCATTTGAAATGGATATCCTGGACATGGATATGGGCCCTGATTTCATGAAATCACAAAATCATGGAGTGGTTTGGATTGGAAGAACCTTAAAAATCATCCAGTGCCACCCCTGCCATGGCAGGGACACCTCCCACTGTGCCAATGTCCAACCTGGCCTTGGGCACTGCCAGGGATGGGAAATCCACTGGAATGGAATGGAATGGAATGGAATGGAATGGAATGGAATGGTATAGAATAGAAATAGAAATAGAAATAGAAATAGAAATAGAAATAGAAATAGAAATAGAAATAGAAATAGAAATAGAAATAGAAATAGAAATAGAATAGAATAGCTGGGATATCTGTGTAAGATTTGCTGCTCTCTCCTGGATTATTTTGGGTCTCATCCTTCACCAGCTGATGGCTGCAAGGTGTTGGTTTCACCTTTTCTCTATAATGAATAGAATAGTTTATACATAGAATTTTTAACATTTTTAACACTCCGAGGAAAGGTGTTCACTTCACTTCCAATGATGCATTTAGATAAATTAACATTCCTGAATAATTAAATACTGTGGCCAAGCTTCAGTAATTAGATGAATATTCTCTAATAATTAAGAAGCTTATTTTCCTTTAGTGTTTCTTACCTTGTGGTTCAATCATAACATTTTATTATTCATTATTTTCTCTTTTGACATTCATATCTATGTGCTTAACCCAGAGATCTCCTGACCTTTAAAAACTGGCAGCACTTCATTGAGTTTCTCTCTTTTACCTCTTTTACCTTCTTGACAGCCCAAATCTCTCTGGGCTCACACATTTGCTTGAAAGAACCCCAGAGATATCAATAATTTCATTACTAAGTCTAGATGCTGCATGTTGTTATTTTTATCCAATTTTTTCCAAACTTAACCATGATTTCTCCTATTTGAATATTCAGTGTCTCCCTCTTTGTTTGCTAAACCTCATTTTCTACATCATTTCATCTACATCATCTCATTTTCTACATCATCCTCATCAGAGTGGAGAATCTTTCTTGCATCAGGTACAGCCTGGATGTGATATCTTGACTTTTGCTTTATACTGATGGATGTGGCAGCACCCAGCAGGATTCCAGGACTCTTATTTCCCATTTAATCAGCTTTACAATTGCAAATTTAATTCAGTTCTTTTTCACTCTGCTGCCCATTTCTGCTACTTGTGGGGGCGCTGGGAAGGGTCACACTGGCAAAGTTAATATGAAAATTAATTAATGATGGATATTAATTCGCTGTCTTGCACATCCAGGTCGTTATGGGAGGGGTTTGGTGCCACCTCTCTGCTCCAGCAGGGCCATCCCAGAGCACAGGATTTGTCCAGATGTGTCCCTGCTGTGCTGCTCTTTGGTCACTCCTGTTGAATCCATGAATTGCATGGATTTATTTAATAAAGAAATTCATGGATTTCATGGATTTCATGTTCCCAGCTTCCCCAGAGCCATTCCTGACTCATGGATGAGGCTTCAGCCACAGCAAATCTCTGCTGTGTGGCTTCCCCCCACCCAAAAATTTGTATTTGTATAAATTTGTGTTTGAAACTCTGCAGTGGATGTGCCAGCTCCTTCAAGTGCCAGCTTTTCCCCACTGGGATCTAATTTTAATTAGAGACATAAATGGGAAATTCAGATGCTCAGGAAACATTTCTTTCCTCTCCTTGCTAAATCTTTTTTTCTGTGCTTGTATCTTCAGACCTTTAAGCCCAGAATTTAATGTACAGAACATGTTGGTTGCAGGCAGTGGAGTGAGGCCAGGAGGGGTGAATTGGGTGATGGAGGCACAAAAACCAGGAGTAAAACTCAGCAGTTAAATCAAATTAAAGAGAGATCCCAACTGATGACGATGGATTTTGGTTAAAACCCTGTGGGGAGTTAGGACTAAGATCAGAACTCTTCTACTTCTCTGATTTTCCTATTCACAGTTGTACTAAATGACCTTTCTTGTCCTAAAAGAGTTCTGCCAAACTGCAACCTTCAGTAAAAAAATCAGAATTATTCCTGGTGCCTGAACCATTCTTTGAGAGTAACTCCCATTACAGATAATAACATCATATTCTATCAGAACATTCCTGCCTCATATTCTTGCCAGAAAATCCGTGTGCACCTGAGCAATGACTCCGTGAGGAATGACTTTAAACCTTTTTGGATGTTATCCATGAAGATATTTGTTTAAAAACAACCTTATTGTTTAAAAAAAACAATAGTTTTGGAAGTCAGGTAATGACACTGCACATAGAACCCCAAAGGTCTGGGCATGAGCAGCCACGTGCACTCAAATGATTACAAACCCAGTGAATTTCCTTGTTTCTCATTTTATTTATTTATTTATTTATTTATTCTCATTTATTTATTTTATTGTTATTTTGGAGATTCCTTTAATTAATTAAAGGACGCTTTTCCTTCCCTTTACCAATAAGGACTGGTGTTAGTTGGTTTGAACCGAGGGAATTCCTTGTCAAGGGTGGTAAAACCAGAAATTTGGAAACCTGATCGTGCTGAGTTGTCCAAATTTCACAGGGAATCCCTGACAGGAAGGTGAAATAAATCCTGAATGCAGAGATGGGGTGGGAAAGGAGAATTGCTGATTTAAAACTGAAACATCAACACCTCCGGAAAAGGCAATGCCATGGGCAGATTTGGGATGTCTAAATAAAGAATAAATCCAGGAATAAATCAGCAGTGTGCTTTGTGCTTTCAGAATATGAAATTGAGAGATCCTTTTTCCTGAGGATGAAGTGTGTCCTAGCCAAGAGGAATGCAGGGCTGACGTGCAGTGGCTACAAGGTAATGTACAGAAATGACTTTTCCACCCCTGAAATATTTGACAATTGACAAGTTTATTTCTTTGGGCGTTTGTTTCGGGGTTTTATTTTTACATTCGTGTAGCTGAGAGCAAAGTTGGTGATGAAAAGAATCAGAGAAGATTCCCCCAAACGCCCTCAGTAATTCAAATTTCAATTTTGTGGCACATTCCCTCACCTTGGTCCCTGGGAATTTTCTGGAGCCCAGCCCTGACATCTCGGTCTCATTCCCCCATGGAACAGGAACCCAGACACAGGAATTTGGAAATTTTCCACATCCCACCCCCTTGGCCTCAACACTAAAAAAAACCCCCAAGCACTGCCATCACCCCAGGGTGGAATTGTACTAAAGCACCAAGTCTGTTTATAAATCTTACAGTTTGTGTGATTCTTTTTTTATTTATGACATGAAATCAGAAGCCACAGCAAACGCTGAAGTTGTAGAATAACAGCTGTAATTTGAGTAATTTTATTTTCAAATTTGCAGTAGTTTTCATTTTCATCTTTACAGGCAGTTTTTATCTTTAGATTTGTAATAGATTTTATTTTCAGATTAGCAGGTAGCTTTTATTCTCAGATTTGCAGTAGCTTTTATTTTCACCTTTGCAGTAACTTTTTTTTTCAGATGTGCAGGTAGCTTTTATTTTCAGATTTGTAGTAGCTTTTTTTTTCATCTTTGGAGTAACTTTTATTTTCAGATTTGCAGTAGCTTTTATTTTCAGATTTGTGGTAGTTTTTATTTTCATCTAAAGAGGCAGTTTTTATTTGCAGATTTGCAGCAATTTTTTATTTTCAGCTTTGCAGGAATCTTTTCTTTTCAGATTTGCTGTAGTTTTTCTTTTCATCTTAAGAAGCAATTTTAATTTTCAGATTTTCAGTAATTTTTATTTTCAGATTTACAGTCAGTGTTAATTTTCAGAATTGCAGCAGTTTTTATTTTTATCTTTACAGGTAGCTTTTATTTTCAGATTTGCAATAGTTTTTATTTTCAGATTTGCAGGCAGGTTTATTTTCAGATTTGCAGGCAGGTTTATTTTCAGATGTGCAGGGAGCTTTTATTTTCAGATTTGCAATAGCTTTTTATTTTCAGCTTTGCAGTAGTTTTTATTTTCATCTTAAGAACCAGGCTTTTTTTTCAGATTTGCAATAGTTTTTTTTATTTTCAAATTTGCAGGTAGTTGTTCTTTTCATCTTTACATGCAGTTTTTATTTCCAGATTTGCAGTAATTTTTCTTTTCAGCTTTGCATCTGCTGCTCTCGGAGCTGCTCAGGTGAACTTTGCCTCCATCAGGGAGGGTCATTCCTTCATCCTGGTGGGGATTCCTTGTGAATTGTTCCAAACCCAAAAAGCCAAGGCTGGAGGAGGAGCAGAGCTCTGCAGGAATGTGCTCAAGGTGCAGACATGGACCTGGATGTTTGCACTCCTCCCCACCTGCCTGCACTGATAATTTGATAAATCTTCATTACACTGAGCCCTGTTTGCTCAGCTGCTCCCCAGCAAAAATGCTTCTGTCCCAAAGCTGAATCTGAAATCAGCTGAAAGAGCAGAGCTTAAAGCCCTGGGATCTCCACGTGGCTTTGGGGAGTTTTTGGGTTTTTTAATTCCCAATTATCCCTGTTAATCAGAGGCATCTCTTTCTTTGCTCACCGTTAAAAGTTTGCACAGTGAAAAATCAAAGGATTCTTTCATCTGGAGAGATGTTGGCCTAAATTTATTCCATTTCACTGTGCTTAAAGGCAGGACTTAATTTTTAAGACATCACCTCATTAGCTGAAGCACAGAAAAAACTCATGGACCGAGTGATGAGGAATTGAGATCTGCTGAGAGATTTTACTGTGCTTTGGCTAAACTTTGAAATGACTGGACAGGAGGAAGTTTAAGCAGGAGGAGCCTGTTTCCAGGTGATGTTTGGTAGGTTGTTTAGAGCACTAAATACACCGAAAATTAATTCCTTTCCACAGGACACAGTTAAAAGCCAAACAAACAGAGAAATTCAGCTAAAGGATGTGATATTCCTGCTGCTTGGACCAGAAAACTGGCAGGGGCACGGATGATTTCTGAACACCAGCACCACACTAAATAAATCTTCTGGCCTGGAATAGTCCCCAAGTTACATTTCCCCCTCCCCTTTAGCTGACACTGAATTTTTACAGTCTAACACTGTCATTATCACCTCTGTGAACAGCAATTGTACCCAGGGATCCCGAAATCTGAGCTCAGGACCTTGGCTTTGGTCACGTGTCAAAAAAGAAAAAACAAACCTCTGAACTTGAGCAAAGAACTTCAAACTCATTTCTCGTGCATTTGCATAAACATCAGATAATTTTTATTGCGTTGTCATGCATCAATGCCCACTGGGTTTTTTAAGTGCCTTTTTAAAAAGTGCCTTTATTTACATTAGAGTAATAACTCATTAAAATTTAAATGTTTTTCTTAATCTTTGAGTGCGTGGGAGAGAGATGGACATTTTTTAAAAAGCAACTTCCAGATTTTTTTTTTAATCAATGAACAGGATTTCTGGCTGTATCTACGTGAAATCTATATCAAGGAGCTTAAAGTATTAATTAGAAAGCAATTAGGCAGTCCCCAGAGTGAAGGAGCTGTCAGCAAACACAAAACTGCACTTGCTGAGTCTTAATCTCTATTTACAAATTAACTCAATCAACAGACAACCCAGAATTTAATGTTTTTTGGGGGAGTGTGTCTTTATGAGCTCATTGGGACTGGGAGGGCAGCAGATGTGGGGTTTGTCCATCCCATCCTGAGGGTGTTTTTCCCTTTTTCCAGGTGATCCACTGCAGTGGCTACCTGAAGATCCGTCAGTACATGCTGGATATGTCCCTGTACGATTCCTGTTACCAAATCGTGGGGCTGGTGGCCGTGGGGCAATCTTTGCCTCCCAGTGCAATCACTGAGATCAAGCTCCACAGTAACATGTTTATGTTCAGAGCCAGTTTGGATTTAAAGCTGATATTCCTCGATTCCAGGTGAGCAGCTCTTTCATCTCCGGCATCGTGTTAAACTGCCGTGGTTTCCAAAAGGGTCAAAACATCCTTGAAAAAAAAAAAAATCAACTATTCCAAAATAGATTTGGAACTCAGAGCCTTCAAAGCCTGTCAGGCAGCTGGATAAACCAGACTTTGTCTGGAATGCCAAGAAATCAGAGCTTGTCCAATTTAACCTGGAGTTACCTGCACTTTTAGGGTAAAAGCTAAAAACGAAGATAAAAGGTAAGAGCTTCTTGCTGTGAGGATTGGTGACAGAAGCAGTGACACTTTATTATTTGAAAGGACACAAATTTTATCATAGAAAGCCAGCAAAATGAATGAGGATGTACCAAAAAAACCCAAAAAAACAATCCCAAAAGTGGAACAGATCAAAGAACTGGCTGGGGTCATCCAGAAAGCTTTTGAGAGAGCAGTAAGGAAAGAGAGTTTTGTCTTTTAGTGTAATGCTTTAACCATGAAACCAGCACTAATAATGGGGTAGTTAAAATGGAAATTAATTCTTACACAAGAAAACAGGACCTTCTGAAACAAAATTTTGGGAAAAACAGCTGAGGAAGGAGAGCTCTGCCTCCACTTCAGCTCAGATGAGCACAGAACCAGAACTGAAATTCATTTCTCTGGGTTTGGAGCAGCAGCTACTCTGTGGGATACAATACTTTGTCCAGTGCAGTCCAGGAGACCTTGAAGGAAAAATCCCAAATACACAAAGTATCGACAAGACAATCATTCTTCAAAAATCCCTTCCTGTGTGTCCCACATTCCCCGTTTCCCTGGCGGGCTGGATTTGCAGGGAATATATTCTTGCGGGGAATATACTCATGCAACGAATATGTGAGGAAACCTCAGTACCCAAGAGAGTGGAGCTCCAGCAGGCCAGAAGAAGCTTTTCTCCGTGCTCAGCCCAGGAGACAGTGGCTCCATCAGCTGCTGGGACACAAAGGACTCGTTGTTTCTGGAAGCCTTCCTCGTTTTTTTGGCACGCGTCGCTTCGTGCCGCGGCTACAAAGGAGCACGAGGGGGTTCAGCGACACGTCCTTGCATGTGGGGAAAAGGAAATGATGTGCCTGGGAGGAACTGCCTGCAGACAGAAGTGTCTTCAAAGGCCACAGAACAAGCTGAGGTGTTGACAGGAGCAGGGATAGACCCAGAGCTGTTGCAGAGCTGTGTTTACCCAGGAGCAGATGGGTGTCATCCACACACGGGACAAGCAGGGGAATTCAGCCTCACCAAAGCCTTTTGCTCTCCCAGCTGAGCAAACCAAACTGTATTTGCTTAAAACAGGGGTGTATTAGAAAAAACTGGTTTCGGGCTTGGTTCTGATTTCCATGGATCTTGAGATGTAACAGTCACAGCAGACAGCATGAAAGCCATGGGAAGGAGCAGCTCAAAATCCCTTTCTAGACACCTGACACAACAGCAAGCACACAGGAGTTCATTCACTGAGGTCACTGGAAGGAGGAGAAGCCACTTCCCTCCAAAGTGAGCTGCTCACCCTGATTTTTGTGGTGCATTCATTGCCAGGGGGTCTAAAAAGAGTTTGAAGAACTCAAGAGACCAGAACTGATCCCTGGGGCGAGCTCTGCTTCCTCTGAGTGTCCTGTCACCTGCACAGCCCAGCCTGGAGTGCCCAGGCTGCTGGAGGGATTGATTTGATGTTAAAGGAAGTAAAACCACTGAGTTTATTTCCAGAGTCAAGCTTTTCCAAATTCTGGGTGTCCTAGGAACTGTCAATGTTGTTTTTTTTGTCACCATCTTCTAAGTGAGACTGCACCTTTGGGAAAATGAAACCCTGCCTCGGGTCTGGTGCTTTGGCTGGGTTTGGATGAGCTTTTTTTATTTTTTAATCCCACCAAAGGGCAGGATGGAGCTGCCACCCTGCTTTTAAGTGCACTGAAATCAGAAGGAGAATTGAAACCTAAGCAGGATCTTCCACCAATATTTTGTGATCCTGATTGGCTTCAGTGGGGGTTTGGGATGAGCACAGACTGCAGAGGAGAAACACAAGCATCTCTTCAAAGGCATTTTGATCCTGCTGTCCTTCAGAACAATCCAAGCCCTCAACCCTCTCAAGCAGAACACCCTCAGTCTCTGTGGGGTCCACTGGGCTGGTTAGAGTCAGGATATGAGTACAGAAGATGCACAAAAGTCACAAAATTTAAAAAAAAGGAATCAAAATGTACATTATCTGCAATCCTACAATGACAGGTATTGCTTGGGATTCTCTGTACATTTCTGTGGACACTCCTGTGTTATCTCTGGTGCTGTGCAGCCTTACCAGTGCTAAAGCCCAGACCAGGAACATCCTTTTGAAGTCCATGGCCTGACCCTCCCTGCTCAGTTCATGGCATAAAGAGGCTTGGGGCATTTAAACTGGATTCCTTCAATCTAAACTGAAGGACAACCTCCAAGAGATCACCCCTAGGACACTCCAACTTCAATAAATATTTCAGTCCACAGGCCTAGGCTAGACCTAGTCCCAGGTAAAACTGGAATTAAAATGTGCAGAGGCATCTGCTGCTGCAGGAGTAGATCCTCAGCAGGGACAATTTTACTGTCACTCACCTGCTAAGGGATTGTGTCACTTGTTCATGGGGACATTCCTTACTGCTCTGCCTTTTTTAGGCAAAGAAAGTCCAGGACATCACAAAAATAACCCTGGATAAACAAGCCACGGTTTGGCTGAGTGGCACATTGTATTTCAATTACTATTTTTTTTCTTAACTAAATTTTAAAAAGCCCATCTGAAAAAACGAAGTTTGACTCTTCAGGTCTGACCCAATGTAAGTCTGACCTCTGAATGTGATTCTTTAACATCTGCAGAGATGCTGCTGTTTTGAATTTGTTCCATTCTTCTACTTCTGGGTTGGTTTTTTTTTTTTAAGTCTTGCCTCGGCTTTCCTTTCCTCACCCTGTGGTCTTCACACCTCCTTGTCTTTCCACATTCTCAGCTGGAATAAACTCCTGCTTTTTTTCTCCTGTTAGGCACCAGCCTGGATTTCTTCACAGGCCATGATCACATGTGGCCCAACACACCTTCCACACTTGTAGCTTTGCAAAAGCAAATGAAAATGTGTCAGCAGCCCACAAGAGAGGTTTTATTGTTTCATGAGCAGCTCCTCGAGTGGAACTTTGTGCAAAGGATCCTGCATGGCAGTGGCAAAAGCCCAAGGTGGACATCAGTAAAAGAGCTCTTTTTCCTGCCTGGGTGTACCAGGGAAAAGCTGCACCTTGCTTTGGCTGGGCTGAAAGGGTTTCTTTTCTTGTAAAGGCGAGGGTTCTGCTTCCAAAACTAACATTTCGTCCTGCAGCTTTCAGGCACTGATTTGTTGGCACAATCAAATGTTGGGTTAATGAAACTGAATATTCCTAGGGATTTTGTTTATTGCAGATTTTTCCTTTTCCAGGGTCACGGAATTAACTGGATATGAGCCCCAGGATCTGATAGAAAAAACCCTGTACCACCACGTCCACGGCTGTGACGTTTTCCACCTGCGATACGCTCACCACCTGTGTAAGTGCCTGGGCTGGGCTGGGGGCACGGGAGGGACCTGGAGCTGCTGGACAGGGTCCATGGAGGCAGCAGGATGAGCAGAGGGATGGAGCAGCTCTGCTGGGAGGAAAGGCTGGCACAGCTGGGATTGTTCAGCCTGGAGAGGAGAAGCTTTGGGCTGAGCTCAGGGTGGCCTTGCAGGGCCTGAAGGAGCTGCAGGAACCATGGAGAGAGACAATTGCCAAGGGATGGAGGGACAGCACCCAGGGAATGGAGGGACAGCACCCAGGGAATGGAGGGACAGCACCCAGGGAATGGAGGGACAGCACCCAGGGAATGGCTCCAAAGTAGGATTTGATGGGATTTTGGGAATTAGGAATTGTTCCCTGGGAGGGTTTGGGATGGAATTCCCAGATTTGCTGTGGCTGCCCCTGGATCCCTGGAATGTTCAGTTCCAGGTTGGACATTGGGGTTGGAGCAGCCTGGGACAGTGGGAGGTGTCCCTGCCATGGCAGGGGTGGCACTGGGTGGACTTTAAGGTCCTCCCAACCCAAACCATCCTGGGATTCTATGGAATATGTTGAGCACAGTAAGAAGTTTTGCAGACAACAAACACCACACTGGAAAGCAGAAAAAAAATCTTTTCCAAATCTTGACTGGAGACAGATTTTCAAAAGTTCTTGGCTATCACTTAAGGAAACCATTAATTGTGTAAATTAGCTGGATACTCCATACACTGGGCTTCCAAAAATTAAAAAAAAAAAAAAAAACAACACCCAAACCAACTTATTTGGCCAGATTTATCTTTGTATTTAGGACATCCAGGCTATTTTGAATAGTTGGAATTGATTCTGGATGGCGATCTCTTGATGGAAAAGAAAAACCAAAGGAGCAAATAAATGAGAGGGGTAAATCTGAACTTCACTAGCCTCTGCTGTTAAAACAAAAACTATGCAGCAGCTCTGCATTCCTCTGAAATATGTTAGTAATAATCATCCTGTGCTTGAAGGGAATGCAATCCCAAAAACTCCTTGGAGGGACATTCATTAGTAGCATGTGGATGAGGTTCGGAGAATGGATTGTCAGGAAAAAAAATGACACATTTAATAATTTCCCATCTTCCAACAGAGTCACTAATCATATCTTCAAACATCTGGATCTGGGAAGGAGCTCATTCAGTAGCACATTAATTTGAAAAGCAAATTGAGGGGATGGCTGAACTCTGGATTTGGCTCCGTTTGCTGCAACCCATACGAGGCAAAGATGACATCCAAAAACCAATGTCAGGGAATTTTTTTTCCAGATTGCTCCTGTAGGCTGGAAGCAGCCAGAGTCAAATCCTTCTTTTAGCCTTCTTCTCTTAGTGTGAGCTACTCATGAGGATCTGCAATATTAAGGAGGTTGTAGCTGTGTTTGGCAAGTCCAAGCTGAAATTCCAAGTGCTGAATTCCACTGGTGGCAGGGTGGGAAAGCAAAAGCTGATCTGTACAGCGAGTTCAGATTTACCAAAACATTATTGAACACTCTGGGCTGCTGAGAAGTGGGAAAAAGAATGACCAGGGCATGTGGAATATCCTGTCAGGGACACCCTCTCTGTAGTGGTGACATCTGCATGTGGATGTGACCGTTGACCTGTTCAAAATGAACTCAGTATTTCCAGCAGCCTGTTTGAAATACTTTCATCAACCAGCATGGAGATGATGCCACCACAGCCACAAGCACCTCTGGAAAACAGTTTTCCACTTCAGAGCAGCAGGATGGATAATTCTGTGGCTGCCAGTTTGATCCATGTACGACTGGAGCTTTAAATGAAGAGACAAATCATATTCACTGAATTACCCACCACATCCTTCCACGAGGAAAAAAAAAAAAAAAACCACCCTCAGCCAAATAGGATACTAAGATCAGCTCTGTAGATTAAAGATAAATTACTGTAAACTTTAAAAACAGAAGAAAAATGTGAGCCATGCATAGGAATTTATGAAAGCAGATAAATCCCAAGAAGCACAAAATAATGAGTAATGCTTGGGCAGCAGTGGGAACAGTGCAGGGTCATGGTTGGAATACCAAGTAATGGGAATTATTAAACCAGATGTAAAGTGCACAAAGCCCCTCTGGGGAGCACTGTGGGAGCTCCCCCAGCATCCATCAGCAAATGTCTCAGGAACATGAACAGTGAAAGGTTGGCAGGTTTGTTGTACCATTCTGTAAAGCAATCTGATGATGAAGTGTCACCTGATGCAGAAATCCAAAGAGAAACGTCTTACACCTAATAAGGGTATTAAGGGGAAGAAGAAATAATATAGGCAACCCTAAACTAGGATAACCATTTGCTTTTTTTACGAGGAAAAAAATCCCAAACTGAAGACCTGAAGCAGCTGAACTCAGAGTGAGGCAGCCCAGAGAATCAAACAAAGGAAACAGTGAGGGGAACAAGTTAGGAGGGACAGAACAAGACCATCAAGCTAGGAGGGAAATGTAGATGTGAATATTTGCCTAAGGTGTGCTGGCAGCAAAGAGAGTTTCCTGCTTGAAACATTTGATTGGCTTCCAGCTCCAGGAAAACATTTGTGGCATTGGAAGCCGTGTTATTTATTTCTAGAGCCCCTTTCATACACAGTGTTTGCCCTGAAATGTGGCCACACAAATAAGGAGGCCCTGCACTCTAAAATCCAGGACAGAGTTCCAGTACAGACAAAATATCTTTGTGCTCTCAGAGAAATCCCTTTGTTTGTACCATTGTGAGGGGGATTTTGGGCATCCCACGTGTTGCAACATCCCTTGAACAGGATTCAGGTCTCTGTGCCCAGCCCAGCTGATGTCCCCACCAAACCCTTCTCCTGCTCCCTGGAACTCACCCCACGTATTTATAGGGTTATTTTATAGAAAAGCACAGTCCCACCATCTCTGCTGTTGCTGCCTCTGCTTTGCCAGCACTCAAACCTTCTGGCAGGGCAGTACCAGATTTTAAGAGGTCAAAAAAAAAAAAAAAAACACCAAACCAGAGTCTGCTGGGCACTGTGCTATCGCCAGGGCAGCTAAACCAGGATCTGCTGTCAGTGGGGAGCCAAGAAATCCATTTCTTGGAGTGGAATCCTTCAGGGCAGGCTGGGAACTCCCAGCCACACGCCTGGGAGCCTGGTGGAGCCTTTTAAAGCAATCCTGTCTGACAGCCCAGAGCCTTTTCCAGCTTCCCTGCAGAACCAGGAGCGAGCCACAAGCCTGGAACACCCAGTTCCAGAGGGCACATCCGAGGGCCAGGGTTAAAGCCACAGATCCTCCCCCTTGGGCTGCAGCAGAGGCCACCAAGAAGTCTGAGCCTGCACACATTGTCTGGGGGGGTGGATTTGCCTCACTCCCAATTCCTGAGGTTTCCTTTTCAGCATCAAACAGGGCACTTGAGCACAGAGCCAGATGGAAGCTGACCTCACTCACTGTCTCTGTTACTGTCCCTAAGCCAAGGTCAGACTTTCCCCAGATTGCTAAAAAAGCAGGAGACACTGAATCCTCCCCCATCCCTGGAGAAATACTGGTTAATCCATGTAATTAAGAAGGAAAGCTGAACACTGTAGCTCTCAGTGGTTTTCACATCTTTTCAAACACTGTCTTAACTGCGGAGCTAAAAGAGGGATTTAAAAAAAAATCAGTGAGAGAGGAGGAAAGCCAAAACTAGTCCCAAAGCACACGGAAGAACTTTGTTATAGTTAGTGATCCATGACAGCATTAATTTCTCTTTCGGAAGACTGAGTGCAGCAAAGCATTTTGAGCTCAAGGAAAACGTGCTCATTAAACCAGCACAAAGACCTAGTTCTGAAAAGCCCAGACCATATTCCAAAAATTACCTGTTACATGGCCTGTGCTAAAATGTAAAGATCATTTCCTGGAACGGGACCATTTGGATTTTAGAATGAATCACCAAATCATAAAATCATAGAATGGCTTGGGTTGGAAAGGATCTTGAAGATCTCATTCCAACCCCCTGCCATGGGCAGGGACATCTTCCACTATCCCAGGCTGATCCAAGCCCTGTCCATCCTGGTCTTGGACACTTCCAGGGATGGGGCAGCACAACTATAGAGCACCATCCACAATTACAGAACACTAAGAAATAATAAAACTGTGGCATAGAGATAATTATTAATATTTTTAGAACAGAACCTTTGAGCAGCCACTCTGAGACTTTCAAGTCACAGTGATAAATTGCACTTAAAAACCACAAATGTCTTTATATTTTCTTGGTGTGTTTATTTACATACTTACACACACACTCCTCATGATTTTTCTAACTGTGTGTACATCTGCCCACCCTCATCCCTTAAAGAATTCCATGTGGAAATGTAGGAGTGGAAGGAACACCAGCAAGAATGAGGCAAAAAGCTGATATCTAAGAGAGATTTGAAACCCCAAACAGCAGTGGCCTGGTGACATGGAGGGTGGGTTTTGAAATGTCCTGCAATGTCATGGAATCATGGAATATCCTGAGCTGGGAGGAACCCACAGGGATCATCCAGTCCCACCCTGCCCTGCCCAGACTCCCCAGAAATCCCAGCCTGGGCATCCCTGGCAGCTCCTGGAGCTCTGTGCCCATTCCCTGGGGAGCCTGGGCAGTGCCCAGCACCCTCTGGGAGAGTGAAGAACCTTGCCCTAAAATCCAACCTAAATCCCTCCTGGCCCAGCTCCAGCCTCTCCCTGGGTGCTGTCCCTGTCCCAGAGCAGAGATCAGAGCTGCAGACAATTTTAGGTGTTCATTTTGTTGCCTTCTGAACACACAGGCACCTCATCTGAAAATGGAAGGATTGACACTTCCAGAAAGACCTGTCAGTTTTGTCAGAGCCTGATTTTCTTTGGGAGATAAACTGGATTTGGAGGAAGGTTTAAATATATTGGGATGTACAATGGATAGGAGAGGAAGCAGCCCAGAGAGGTGGCTCACATGCTCCAGATTTTGAGGAGACCTCCCTGAGTCTTCCAATACCACAAGGAAATGGATGAAAAGGAGGGAGAGGGAATTCTTATATGGGCAAAAAGTGACAGGACAAGGGGAATGGTTCTAAACTGACAGACAGCAGGTTTAGATTCCATTTCTTAATCATATTTATATAAAGGAATTTCTGCCATTGCCCACTTTTTTGGAACACAATGTGTGCAGTGATCTCAGTCCATAATTCCCTAATTTACAATAAATAACTGCATAGGAGAGTAAGAAGATGGAGTTTCCCAGAGGAATGATCCAAGGCCACACAAGAGAAGAACCAGCTTCAAAGGCTGGGCATTATCTTCTAGTGAATCCTGAGATAAAGGCCTGGCACTGAACCAGGAATATTTGTGGCTGGATTAAATATTTAGAGATGCTGCACAACTCCTGTTACAGCACAACCTCCTGCCAAAACTTCCATGTTCACAGAGGATCCAAAATAGCTCAGGGAGGATTACATGGCTGGTGAATTTATCAGATATCTGATTCCTCTCTCAGTCCTTGTCTTTGTTTGGGTGTTTCACCACCACAGAGTTTTTAAATTTTACCGTTTTGAATCAACCTTCATGATTACAGAGGGGGGAAAAAAACGGTTACAGAATAAAATACATTGCAAAATACATGATAATCTGTCAAGCTATGAGAGAAGTGCTTCCAAATAATCTGGAAAAAATCTCAAAATCACAGAATCCTCAGGGTTGGAAAAGACCTTCAGGATAATGCAGTCCTGACCCCAAACCCTGTCCCCAAGGGCCACATCCAGACTCCTCCTGAACACCCCCAGAGACAGTGACTCCTTTCAAAAGAATTGTGTCCAGTTCAAAATACTTTTGCTGCCTTGAACTTTTCTTTTGCAGTTAGGAATTTTACAACAGTGTTTGTGACGAATACGACCATAGGTGACCCAGAGAAGAAGGAAGACAAAATCTAGGAGTCTTCAAATTTTATATAAATAATAATGTGGTGTTATGAATCTATAAAAAAGGGGAGGAGAGATAATTTTGCAGGGGGTTATTTAAAGTTTATTGGGAGGAAGAAGGTTGGACTCAGTAACCTCAAAGGTCTTTTCCAATCTCATTAATTCTGTGATTCCCTGAGGGAGAATTCACAGAACTCACAGAATCACTGGGTTGGAAGAGACCTTCAAGATCATCAAGTCCAACCCATGCCCTAACACCAAAACTAAACCATGGCACCGAGTGCCACATCCAGCCTTTTTTAAACACATCCAGGGATGGTGATTCCAACACCTCCCTGGCCAAACCATTCCAGTGCTTTATCACTCTTTCCATGAAAAACTTTTTCTGATTTCCAACCTAATTTTCCCTTGGCACAGCTTGAGACTGTGCCCTCTGGTTCTATCAGTGCTGCCTGGTGAGAGAGACCAACCTCACTGGACACAACCACCTTTCAGGGAGTTGTAGAGAGTGATGAGGTCACTCCTGAGTCTCCTTTTCTCCAGGATGAACAACCCCAGCTCCCTCATTCGTTCCTCACAGGGTTTGTGTTCCAAGCCCCTCACCAGCTTTGTTGCCTCCTCTAAAGAATCTCAACATCCCTCTTTAACTAAGGAGCCCAGAACTCAAGAAAAGCTCTTAGCTTGCAAATAAACCTCTCCAGGAAGTGGTTGTGAGTCCAAAAAACATGAATTTTAAATTTTTATTTTTTTCTTGTGTCCACAGTGCTGGTGAAAGGCCAGGTGACCACCAAGTACTACCGGCTGCTGTCCAAGCAGGGAGGCTGGGTGTGGGTGCAGAGCTACGCCACCATCGTGCACAACAGCCGTTCGTCACGGCCTCACTGCATAGTGAGTGTCAATTATGTCCTTACGTAAGTCCAAATACTTTGTACCATTACCTGCTATCACTAATTGAGTCATTAATGATGAAATCCACCCAGTTTTCTTTGCCTGTGTCCTTCCGGTGTCGTTCTGTGCTCGCGCGTTTCTCTGCTCGTGTGATTCCATCTCTTTAAACTGAGAGAAAACATTATTATATTCGTTATTCTCATTAGTGTGTAAATCTTCATCTTGTCCAGGGAAAGGAAGTGGAGTTGGTAAAGGGTCTGGAAAATATTTCCTGATGGAGCTGGGAAAGGGGCTGAGGCTGGAGAAAAGGAGGCTCAGGGGGGACCTTGTGGCTCTGCACAA